CACCCTCGGCCGGCACGCCACTTCAATGGCGAAGGCAGTGAGAGGTCGCGTCCGACCTGATCCGCCTTTAATATGGAGCGGCGTGCTCTACAATGACATGAATGCGGACAGCTAGCGCCGGGTGAGAAGCGCGTGCGGGAGGCGGAAGGGATTTTTGTAGGCCAGGGCGGTCAGAAGTGGGCTTGAGATCGGCTGGGACCCCCGCAAACCTCCCTACATCTATCTCCGGTTTGCGGGAGAAAAACACGTTCAGACCGCGCTGTGGAACAATACAGGACCGCGTCTGCGGTACGGACAACACGGTCTGGACGGTTGTGGAAGGTTTGAGGATCGATGTTGGAGATGCCCAGATGCCCAGATGCCCAGATGTTTGAAGCTATTTTTTGTTTTTCTGGAAAAACTCACAAGCTATTCATCTCGTTACAAACTCAACTGAGTCCTTGATCATTTGTTTTGCCCAGATACCCAGTTAAGCCTGCTCAACTTCGTTTCTAACAACAAGTGCTAAGGATATTTTGAACGGCGACTCGTAAATTTTCTCCCGCATCCATCCAGCCAGAGGTCACCATCCAACGTTGAACCGTCTATGATGTCAGCATCCTGATAAATGCGCCTGCCGGAGCGCCGACGAGAGATTCTCATTACCTGTTCGGACGACTGGCCGGTCCGCGATTGGAAAGTCGATCACCGGGTGGGTCCAACAGGCCCTGTCCCTGTGGGTAATACTCTGAACGAAGACCTGCTGACAGTCAATCTTCACATGAACGATCGGCCAATTTAGCAGATGCTTGTTAATTGATTGTCCAAGTACGTACTATGGCTGTTCGCACTACCGGCCGTCTTCCCCCGTTGTTCGATCGATTGCCGGCGGCCGCGTAGGATCACGTCGCCGGTCGCCCTGGGACAACCGCACATGCCCGTGCTTCGAATCGCCGGCTGCTACCTAGCAACAAGAATTATTCAGAACTCACTCACGACAAGTCGATAATTCAGCGTCCAATCGCATTGGCCGCCGGGATACCGAATACCGGAGAGGTCCGGGAGGCATCTATCTATCTTCTCGAGTTACCTTCCTAGAAGGCTAGAACTTCGACGTGCCGTGGAGACGTCGTGCTCGCCGGCCGACGGATCGCTTGTTCGTTAGTCGGTCAAATCCAGAGAAAAATTAACCTGTGGTGTACTGGTACCGAACATGGCCTGGGCCGTCCGGGAGGATTTATAGACCGATAAATAGCGACGCTTTTGTACCTTTCTCGCGTTAGATGACTTTCCACTTTCGAATGTGTTTTGCGATCTCCAACCCCACTAATCACGATGAGTCGATGAGTAGCATAGATCAGTTTAGCTATACAATATGTCATGTAATGCAACCTTCTAATTAATGTGGCTTGACACTCACAAAAGAAAATGTCACTTGTCGTTCATGATTGCGCTGTTAAACTACTCATGTTAATATTTTATAACGCCGATTTTGTACATACCATATTGTATCTGTACATGTTTGGAAAAAAATTGAAGACTCAAAAAAGAACTTTTAGCGAACCGAGCTGAACTTGTCCTACGAGGTAGTTGGGACCTCTTTGATTCATGGTAAATTTTTGTTTTTGCCACTTTAGATTTCATCAATTTTCTTTATGTCATTCTAGATTTTGACACTTCACTTTGCCATTCTTAACTCTGACAATTATCACAATTGCCATTCCATGGCAAAAGCAAAATAATTTTATTTTATTTTTGCCATTCTTAACTTTTGAAATGTATCACAATTGCCAAAATTTGCCTTTTGCCCCGGGAATGGCAATTGTAATAATTGTCAAAAACTAAGAGTGGCAAAACTGAAATGTCAAAATCTAGAGTGAAATAAAAAAATTGGCAAAATCTAAAGTGGCAAAAACAATTTTTTTCTTCATTCATAGGATGAAAATAGAAAACAAAAACACGGAAAATGAGTGTCATAACACCTTCAATATTGCATGATTCATGAACGCGTGATTTTTTTTTGTGATGGCATGAACGTGTGATTGTGCGCACTAAAAACTTATGATTCTTTAAATGGCGATGGAGTGGATGCAAAATTTACTATGAAATCTGGTATAAATGAATCTTAAGAGGAAAAAAAACGTTAGTGACTGCAATCCTATGGATCAAGCGACGTACGTAGGATCCCCCATGGCTAGGTGAACTTGAAGGTGGATGGGTCGTTCATGGACTAAGACGGAACCAGGGGCGCCGGCGCTATGTGACGAGGTTGGGGCGATCATCATTTCCCCTTGTTGTGTCTGTGCTGGTATGCGCCACTCACTGGAAGCAGAGCGCGGAGCTCGCTGTGTAGAAAGAATCGAAGACAATGTGATCTCGAGCCCACATGCACCCTCGTGAATAGTAATTATTACTATTTCCTAAAATGTGTGTTTTTTTCAACAAACAAACATTGTTGAATGTTCTACATACGAGCAAATTTTCGTGAAGGAAAAACATTCATAAATGCTCCAATGAAAAAAATGATGCCCCAAAAAGGCATTTTAAAAGCATTTTTCGAGCACTTATTTTTTTTCAAAGAAAATGTTTTTTCTTCATCGAAATTTGCACATGTAAAAAAAAATCACTATTGACCCCTCACCGTGTCCTGTCTTTATCGGCCACTTGCCTGCCCTTTTCAGGAAACAACTTGCCAGCGACAGCAAAAAAGAATTGATCTGCAGTGCACAGGAGCGCGTAAAAATAAACCAGGCGCGCGTAAACCGGATCTTGGCCTTTTGCCTAGGTCAACAGCCGCGTCAACCCCAGCCTCGTCACGCCAACCCCCACCCCACCACAGGCGCCACCCCCGGCCCAAGCCCAAAGCCTGGCCCTCCACACGGTCCGGGCTCTGCCGGGGCGGCTTACTAAGTCAACGATGTTGACCGCGCTACGGCTCGGTCAGTTAAAAGACATGGCCTCGCTTTCTTCTCCCTCGTTTCTCGCTTTCGCATTGGAGACAAGCCACAAACTCTCGACTCCAGGCCGCCATTTCAACCCCCCCTCCCCCCTTCTCTCGCCCTCGCCTCGCCGCCGTGCGCGCGCCGCTGCCCGCTGCCGGAGCTGGGCAGGCACCGGAGAGTTGCCTGCTCCCTGTGATCCTCCGCGGGCCGGAGCGTCTCCGCGTCGGGCGGCTGTTCGGCGGGTTATTAGTTCCGTCGGTGCGCCGGTGGAGTGGAACCCCCCGTCGGGGGCCGCGCGTCGCCGAGGCCGCCGGTTTCGGCCCTCCCTCCCCTGCCGCGGTTCAGGTGAGCCTCGCTGCTTTTCATGGGTCAGATAATCGAAGGTTCCTACTGTAGATTTCTTCCCTTCCCTTGCTCTCTGGTCGCGCCGTTTCTGAATTACCGGCTGTCGGGCGACAGAAGAGAAGCGGACCGCAGAGAGCTGACAGTTCGCGATCCAATAAGAGAAAATAGCGGCGGAAACACGCCATCTAGTAATCGGCCTAACTCTGGCTGTAGCCCTTGCTTGAATTGAATGCTTGTGCGTGATTCCGAAACATAGAGGTTAGAGTTTCAGTGACCATATCGGCGCCCTGTTCTTCAGTAACGCACAATTGCTGGAACTTCCTGTTGGATTGTGATAGGGTGTGAGGATCCGCGGGAGTGCAGAAATGCCAGACACTGAATGCTACAGGACTGGCGACAGACACGGTGCCTGTGAATTGATTGACCGGGCCAATCTTGCATTGCTAGCTACCCTTCAGAAATCATTTAGATGACAGCCCACACATGGCCTGTCCAATACCATGTGCCCGCTGCAACCACCCTTCTGCTTAAGATTAAGAAGAAGAAAGCGATGACGCGGTCTGGATGCGCAATATCGTCTTTGTTTACTGTTGAGGTCTAGTAGCGCGTCTTCTCGTGATCTCATTTATTATTTATTCCATGGAAAGAAACATGTATGCTGTTTTTGGTTTTGTCCTCAAGTTCATAAGATATTTGTGGGAGTCGATCATGACATCGATGCTTATCCAAGAAAGGTATAACTAGTCAATCAAAGAGACCATTTGGATTAGAAAAATCCTGTGGTGGCCTAACGGCCTAAGGGCTACTTCCTTTGATTATGCATGTCATCACATACTACATGTCAGTTGCAACCTACCAAATCAGTGATAGTTGGTTGTTAGTTAAAACTCCACTGCCTGTGCAAAGCTGTCAGTGACGTTTCTGATGGGTAAAACTCCAGAAACGTTCAAGTTTGAATCGACGTGAAATGCTTAAGTGGCTTTGCTGTTATGATGGCAGTTTCTAAGAGCACAGACAAATCTGGAGCATTTCTCTTTGGAACCTTTTTTCCCCTCCACTGTTAAATTTAGCCCACAATTTATGAACTGTTACCTGTTAGTGTTTCTGAACCTTGTGAATCTAACTAAAGACTCTCAGTTATTATGTCAGCAAACTACCCGAGCAGTATTTTAACTTGAATTCTGTGTTTCGACTTTTATTATTACCAAAATGCATTAACTATTTGCAGTCAAAATTCATTCCATCTTGTGCATATAGAATATCCGAGTCAAAATGCATGTCAATTTAAACATTGGCATAGTCTCCAATGTGACATTCTGACCATAGATTTCTTTGAAAAATCAAAAATGTGTTGTCTTTCACAATGGATCTTATCAATGTGATGCTGCAATGTTCGTAATTATTTCTACATTGATAGTCAAACCTAAAATGTTTGACTCACATGCATCTAAATAACATGTATTTTGACTAGGAGAAAGTATTTTTATCTAAAAAGGAAATCTTGAATTGGACATGTTATACATTGCACATGCTACTTTTGTTAGGTAACACGTAACCGGTGTTCATGTTCTCCCGTTTCAGGATATAATCACTGCTGTTGAAGGCTGATGATTGCTGTTATTGAACATGAAGGATGATGTGTCTGTGATTAGATGATATTAAATTGATATCTCTACCAAGTGAATCACAGTACAGAGGTTTGTATTGTAGCTCGAGAATTGAAACAACTTGGTAATGAGTTGTTTTTCTCGCATTTTCAAGAGGACGAGCGGCGGTCAGCAACAAACTGGTCCACTCAATGAGGGTATGAGCTCTTATGCCTACAGTTTTGTTGAAAATCACTATTCAGAATATGATATCACTTTGTCACCTCTTTGTCATTCTGCCTTCGTTTTCACTTACATTTAATCTTTTGCAGACCTCCCGGGTGTTGAGAACATAACAAGATTTAGCTATAAGGAGTTGGATAGGGCAACTGCAAGATTTGACCAATCCAATAAGATTGGTGAGGGAGGTTATGGACCAGTTTATAAGGTAATACCCTATTTATTATGTATTGGATGCTGGACCTTAATTATTGCAAGTGTTTTAAAATCGCTAACTTGCCATTTCAGGGAACGCTCAGGGATGGAACAGCTGTTGCAGTAAAGGTGCTCTCTTTGCAGTCTAGGCAAGGCGCGAGGGAATTTCTTAGTGAACTTATTACGATCTCTGATATTTCCCATGAGAATCTCGTCAAGCTTTATGGCTGTTGTGTGGAAGGAAGCCACAAGATCCTCGTCTATAATTATCTTGAAAATAACAGCCTTGCACAAACCCTTCTAGGTAGATTATCATTGCTGAAACCTCTGTATTCTTTTGTTCCTAGAAAAATTTCAGATGCTGTAATCCTTCTTGGTCCTTGCCATTTTTCAGGTTCTCAGCGGCATAGCAGCATCCAATTTAACTGGAGAACTCGAGTGAATATTTGCATTGGTGTTGCCCAGGGACTAGCTTACCTCCATGACGGTGTCCGACCACATGTTGTCCACCGGGACATCAAAGCTAGCAATATACTTCTGGATCAGGATCTTACCCCGAAAATTTCCGATTTCGGCTTAGCGAAGCTTCTACCTTCGGATGTATCACATATTAGCACAAGAGTCGCAGGAACGCTGTAAGTGTAAACCATTTAATCGAACCTGTCTGCTTTACTAAATGTTTACTTGCCGTTTTGGGGTAAAAAAAAACCATTTTTGGTATATTTACTTGTGTTTCTGTTCTCATTATACTAAAATGTTAGTTTGTCTGATCCTTTGAAGTTAGTGGGTGATAGGCTCTTATCGACGTAAGCAACGGCTGCATAGGGATGATATTTTTCAATAAGCACATTAGGATTGAGAAAAGAGAAAAAAAAATGAAAATATTATACTCCCTCCGTTCCAAAATAGATGATCCAACTTTGTACTAAAGTTAGTACAAAGTTGAGTCATCTATTTTGGAACGGAGGGAGTATATAGTTAATTAGATATCTCCTCTGTTGCTTTTTCTCACTGTAAATTTTGCCTGCAGAGGTTACTTGGCTCCTGAATACGCCATCCGAGGACAAGTGACCCGGAAATCAGATGTTTACAGCTTCGGTGTTCTGCTGATAGAAATAGTCAGCGGAAGATGCAACACTGATACAAAACTACCCTACGAGGATCAGATTCTTCTTGAGAAGGTACATGACCCTGTTCTAAATTGTTCATCTCCCGGCCTGAACCATTGTATTTAAAATATCAAGATTACTGATTACCAATCCTGTCTTCCTCTGCAGACGTGGGCATACTACGACCAGGGGCAGCTGGACGAGATCATCGACAGCTCCCTGGGCGACGACCTGGACGTGGACGAGGCGTGCAGGTTCCTGAAGGTGGGGCTCCTGTGCACCAAGAACGTGACGAAACGCCGGCCCGACATGTCGACGGTGACCCGGATGCTGAAGGGCGAGGAGGACGTGGAGTCGCATGAGATCACCAAGCCCGACGTGATCCGGGACTTCAGGGACCTCAAGCTGAGGAGCAAGGCCACGTCGTCGTCGCTGCTGACCTCCATCGTGGCGCGCTCCTCGCCGTCGTCGTCGTCGTCCACCGGCAACACCACCCGCACCTCCATCACTTTCACCGCCATATCGGACCGCCCCTGACCGGTGAAGGCACCGAAGTGAGGATAATGCAGACACGAAGAGACTGCAGAGGAAACTGTAGATAGCCGTAGGGCAGCCCAGGTTTTTCCTTTTTTCTTGTGCTTGTATGGTCTGTGTGGTATAGTGGCCTTCATACTTTCATTCACTTTACTTTTTTTTTGGCGGGGCACTTCACTTGATTGTTTCTCTGTATAAAAGGGTTGTACCGATTTTTTATTTATCAATAGAAACCAAGCTCATGTAGTTCACGGCAGAACGATTCTCCCCCAAAGGTCATCACGCAGCCTATATGAATCATTGTATGCACTTCGACCCGAGTGCGAGCTTTTGGAGACCGAGCTACAAGCAGCCCGGTTTCAAAATGCATTTTCCACAGCGTGAAAAAACGTTTTTTTTGTGAACACCCATACACATATATATTATGTATCTGCAAAATTTCATAACACACTGGCGTGCAAAAAAAAGACAAATACGTATTTCTAAAATGTGCTGATTGTTTTTGTTGTTGGGCCGGAATTTTTTTTAGTACAACCTACAAATAATAATATTTTCAAACGTTTATTCACGCATTCATGTTTAACATGTACAGTATAAGTTTCCATGTTTTTTTTAACTTTTAAATATGACATTTGTTTTTCTTCAAATACCGAGCCCCCTGGAGCTTGGGTGCCATTGGCATTTTCCATTTCAACTTGCAGTATTCCATTGTTTATCGCCGCTGCCATTCTTCCCCCAAACTGCCAGCGCTTCGCACAGGGCGAGCGGCCGAGCGATGCGATGAGCCAGCCCATTTGTGTAGATAACATTGGTACTATTCCATCCGGTTTTGGTAACCTTCTAGAAGGTTCTCTAAACCAGTTTTTTTTGTTTTTTCCTTTTCAAGTTTATTTTTATTTTACAAAAAAAGGTTGCTATTTTTGAAAAATGTTTAGACATTTCAAAATAAAAATCGTGTTTTCAAATTTTGTTCACATTTTTTATTTTTTCTTGGGAATTTCAAAAAATGACGTGTTTTTCAAAGGTATTTCATAGCATCAAAAAAATTTCCGGTATCAATATTTCACACAAACTAAATAAATGTCCCCATTTACAAAATATGTTCAGGAATTTCGAAAAAAACTGCGCTTCCGACAAATTGTTCAGAATTTTAAAACATGTTCCAATTATCAAATTTTGTTCATAATAGATGCATTTTTTGAAAAATAATTTTGGAACTTCCAAAAATGTTCGTGTGTTCTAAAAATTATCTATGTTTTCTAAAAAAATGTTTGCATTTATAAAAATATTCACTTTTTTCAAAAAGAATCACATTTGAAATTTAGAAAAATAGAGATCCATCATCGATTATGGTTCTTATACTCCGCCCTACATATTGAAGGAATCGAAGCTTGCCAGATGTTGTGGCTTGTGAAAAGTGCTCACCAGTGGGAGGTCCAGGGTTCAAACGCTCACTCGCATCACTGTTTGCGTGCATCTGGGCCGACCTATCTGGGGGAACCAATATGCGGCGCTCGTCCATTGGCCGCAACACACGCTGCATCAAAAAATTATTAACACATTCAAAAAACAATGTTCAAAAACATGTGTTTGCCAAATTGTTAATCATGTATTTTAAAAATATTAAACATGTATTTATTTTTCTAAACGTGTATAAAAAATGTTTTTTATGTAATCAAAATATGCAGACAAAAAACATACAGTTAGAAAATTGTTGATCATTTATTTTTAAGATGATTAACATGTATAAAACAATGTTTAGTATGTAAACAAGAAATATACAAGGTGTATGAAAAAATAGACATCACAATATCTATTAAAAATGTTAATCATGTACTTAAACATGTTAAGGGTGCATAAAAAGGTTTTTGATGTATATGCAAAATGTACATAGGGTGTGAAAAAAAGTAGACACATGTTGAGAAAAGAATAGATAAAAAACCAAAGAAAGCCGTTGAACACAGTGAAAACATGAAAGAAACAAATTAAACCAAAGAAAAAGGGAAAAAAGAGGACCTACTAATGATCAATGAAAACCAAGAAATTAACAAAAATACTGAAGAAAAAGATAGAGGAAATAAAGAAACCCCGATAAAACCAATAAAGGAACAAATAAAACAAAAAAAAACAGAACAAAAGAAATAAAACCAAAGAAAAAAAGGGACCACAGAAAAACGAGAGAAGCGAATGTAGCTAGCGACGGTGTGCGAACAAACGAAGGCGTGAAAATGGGCATGCCCAGTTTTGCAGCACGCGGAGAAAATCTTCAAGCGAGGGGATCATACATCTCGCTTTAAGCGAGATATAAATTACTAGGTGTTCGTCGCTCGAAGGCCTTAAACATACAAGGCGATGAACAGGGGCTTGCGCCATAGGCCGTCCCAGTAAGTATTCTTTGTAGCGGATGGCGCGCTGTAGCTAATCGGGTTTCTCATTCGCAAAAAAATAAATCTGTTTTCTGGCATTCTTTCATATTCATTTATGTTTTATTGCAAAAAAGTATTTTCTCGACATATACATTTTGATAATATAAAGTGAACATTTTTAATATACACACTGAGGATTTTTTTAACATACGGTGAATATTTCCTAAAACACAAACTGAACAATCGTTTAGTACATTGTGAAAAAAAATTAATATAGGCTGAACATTTTTAAATACACATTGAATATTTTTGTAATATATGTTGACCATTTTGTAAATATATGGTGGATATTTTTGTAAATACAGGATGGACTTTTATGTAATATACGTTGAACAGTTTCCTATTATATGATGAACATTTTTTTATTACACGGTAAACCTTTTTGTATAATTGAAAGTGTATACAGAAACAATTTTTGTCATTTATGAATAAACAAACAAAAAGGAGAAATAAAATAAAGGAAAAAAGAAAGGAAAAACAGAAAAACCAGTAGGAGAAAGCTACATCAAAAAGCAGGTAATCCAAAAACGGGGAGAAAATGGCTGAACTGGATCGGCCCAACTTGCCTTGCCAGTAGCCAGTAGGCATCGGGTCGCCCATTTGCCACCACGGGCGGCAAATAGAATCGGCCGCCTATATCATGCCTACTGTGAGACCGAAGGATGACTCGCCTCTGGCGCTTCCACTAGCAGGCCCGCTCATTAGCGTGCCTACTATGGGCGTGTTTGGTTGCCCGCATCGAGCCCAATCAGGCTCACGCGGAAAGGAAGAGACCCGTTTGGTTGCCTGGTTTCACTGTTAGCCCTGCATCGCACGCTTCTTAAAGCAGCCTAGAGCATGGCTCGCTGGAAACGCTTGAATCGTTAGTTTCTCGTGAGCCAGGCCAAGGCGAGCGCAAGCGAGCGGGCCCTTGCATGAGTGGAGACGGGAGGGATGCGAGGTGATTACATGAGGTCTTCTTCAACCCCCAGTAAGCTTATATAATCTCCTCCCTCTGATCTACACAAGGGTGCTTTGATTCGAGTTAAGCTCTACACAAAAAAGATGCACCTCGATGCTACGGTTCCATTCAGGCGATCGGTTTGTAATTTCCGACTGTACATGCTCAATTTCTTGTTCCCGTTTCCTGCTGTTTTGGACGAATTTTGTCAGGTCGTTGCGCACGATCGATTATTTAAAATTTCCTTTGACCAGCAGCCTAATCTTGTAATTCGGCACAATATTCGTGTTGCAAGTTTCCTGTTTCGACGATCGTAGATGAGAAGATCTACATGTTTCTCATGGTTGTACATATGGATATGTGTGTTGTGATTTGAGACACTGCTTAATTATTCCTCTAGCCAGCGTGGTTTCTCTACATCTCCTCTCTCGTGTCTTGCTGTGGTAGCATCACCGTCGCCGTCGTTCATCTCGGCCTTCTCTCCATAATCCTAATGTAGTTAAGCCGCCATGGCGCGCACACTGATGGGATTCTTCTCCTCTGTTCTCTGCCACCGACGGGGTCGATCATCTTGGCCTCCTCCCTGCCCCATCTTTCTCGTCCTACTACACTGGAGTCATTACCGGCGTCGATCATTGTCGGGGGTTGGGTACGACATATGCCAAAGGATGGCTTATCATGGTGGGAGCGAGTAGAACGTCACCGGTGCCCGGAAGCAAGATGAGGCGAAGACATGCACACCGGTGGATCTTACCCAGCTTCAGGGCTCTCCGTGGAGATAACACCCCTACTGCTGCTCTGCGGGGTCTCCGCATGGTCACTATGGCAAAATGAATACAATGGTGCTCCTAGAGCTGTTTCTGGAGGTAGGAGAGGGCAAGGCTAGCTCTCTCTTTCCTATGTTCTAGGGTCTAGTGCTATATGGATCCGAACCCTCTGCATGGGCTCCCCGGGGGTTTATATAGGCCTACCCCCCAGGGGTATAATGGTAATCCTGCTGGGCGCGGGTCCCAGTCGTCTGTCTCTCAGGCCGTCGTCTTCTCCGCCGACTACTGGAGCCCACCGACTAGCGGGCCCCGCGGACAGGCCTGGTACTGTAGCGGTGCTTCTGATGACGCTGGCTTGGTCATGAGGTCATGGCAACAGTGCCGCCGTTTGGCGGGCGTTCACTGTCGCCATTCCCCGTCTTGTCTGATTAATGGCGTGCGGGGCCCGTGGGAGGGGCCGGCCGACTCCAGGGGGCCGACTCCCACGGGTCCGGCTTCAGGGTGCTCTTGCCGTCTTCTGTTCACCCGCTGACAGGCGGTCCTGTCGTCCTCGGGTCGTACAGGTAGGCGTCGTGGGCACAGTGCGCCGCCCACTAAGGCTGAGGTCAGGGCCGGCATGGCGACAGTGTCGTGCCACGATGGAGATCTCCAGCGATATGGCGCGCTGTAGCCATGCCGGTCCTTCGTAGGCTAGGTAGAGACGGCCACGATGTGACCGTTCCCTGCCCTGTCCATCGCGGCGAAGGCAGGGGGTGGTTGGAGTCGCGAGCCGACTACCCTCAGCCGGCTTCTCTGGAAGTCGTCAACTGAAAGTCGACTTATCTTGGAGTCGTCCCTGGGACTCGGCATATCTTGGAGTCGTCCTTGGGA